TGTGTTTTGTGTTGCAGGCCACGGGATGCATTGCAGATTCCCTCTTCATCCACAGGTGCACGCCTGCTGAGGGCTTTCCCAGGAGAGAACAGCACATGCAAAGCCACATCTGCAATCGCAGAGGATGCTCCCTGATGTTGCGGTTCCAATGGCCATGGTGCTGAAGTGTTCCACTGGTCTCCTGGGAGAGGCCTAACAGAAGGGTGGACTGTTGGCCTCACTGTGGCGTTGAGAGGTGTGGTGGAGTGAAGGGCAGTGGAGAGCAGGTCAGTGGTGTCAGAGTTAGATAGTTCGTCTTAGGAATTTGTTTGTCTTTAGTTCCAGTTATTTTTAACTTATTTAGTTCACTTAGTTTGATAGTGATAGTCTAGTATGATAGGTAATAGTTTAGTAGATTAGTGTAGTACTTCATCGTTTCATTAGTTTAGTCTCATTGTAGAAGAGTAGAACTTTTTTTGGTATTTAGGAGTAAGTAGTTCACCCCACCCTTTCCTCCCCAGCCTGCCCTTCACACCCATGGTTCCCCACAAGAAATTCTAGGCCATGCGCCCACCCCAACCCCAGGTAAGAAGAGGAATCATGTCACCAAACTCCCTGAGCACAGAAAAGAATGACAGACGTAGAGATGGCCAGACTGGGCAGAGGCAGTGCAGACTGCAACACGACTGAGGAAGCAGTGCAAACGTTGCAGAAATTGCAGTAACTGATCCCTTTAATGTTCTGTTTTTGCAGGATGAGGCTCACCGACCAGGACTCCTGCCCTCCCTGCCCACATGCCTTCCCACGTGCCCGCTTCTTCCTTTCTATCCCTTTCATTCCATTGCTCCTTCGCCCCTTCACAGCAACCCTAACCATAACCCCTTCTTGAACCCCGCCCCACAAGCCGGAGAAAGGACCTCCCCTCAGAACCCTCAGAACGGTGCCGGAGAAAGGACCTGCCCTCAGTCGACCAGGCACTGAACCTTTCCAGTGCAGGCGCTGGGTGTCACAAGCACCCTGCTAATGTATGCGCAGGTCAGAGAGAGGAGAGACCCTGTGGACGGCCTCTCTGGAAAAGAAATCCCCAATTCAGTTCCTTGAAGGTTTCTGACATGTCCAATGGAACCATCCTGCACTTCCTGGCTTAAGAATTGCTTGCGTACTTCAGTCAGGGCTTGCCGTGCCGTGCCTGGCTGTTTCACACTTGGCTTTATCACACATATTTCCAGTGCATTTCATTCTGCTAGGTAACTTTGAAGAGGTTGCTTCTTCTTGCCCCATGGGGTCAAAAAAGCCAGATTTCCCTGCCGCTTGAATTAGCACGTGGGGAACTGCATTGCATGACCTGACAGAGATGTGACTCATGCTGCCAGATTGTTTTCCCCACCCTGAACTGAAGTAAACCAAGAAAAGTGTCAAGCAAACTGCTTCTGTGTCTTGTAAGCATGGGAACCCGCTGAACAGCTTTCCTTTGACTGTCCTGCTGCCCCTTCTCGCCACAGGCTCAGCAAGCATTCCTTAACCCCGAGGAACTCTCCAGGGTGATCACATCAGCCTCAAAGCACTGGATGTCAGCCTGCTTCAAGTGTACCATCTTTGTGGAAGGTGGAGGAAGCCTGCGGAGGAACGGTGCAAGACCACAAACATTGGAATGTTGTGCCCCTGGAGTCAAAGGGAGAGGCGTGTTCTGCCTCGGCTTTTCCTCAGTGCGGGGACATCCCTCTGGACATCCTTGAGACAAGATGTTCTCCATCATGCTTGGAACCAACTGTTCCTCCTCTTTCCTTCACAGAGGAAGTTGGCGCAGATGGAGGCGGAGTGGCTCTGCGAAAGGAGGAAGCAGGTCAGGGGCTTGTCCTTCCTGTCTGGGAGGCAGTGTGGTGTTCCAAGCTGAAGGGTGTTAGACTCTTTGACAAATCGGGTCAGGTTCATTCCTCCAAGCCAGCCCTGCAAGGCAGGCCCACTGCCAAATCAGCAGGAATGTAGCGGACCCTCGATGGTGGGAGTGGGAAGGTGTCAAGCATGCGATATGTGAACACCAAGTTCATGCTCCCTGGGAGTTGTGTCCCACTTCGGCTATGCCACCCGGCAGTCCAAACCATCAAGAAACCATCTGGACACCCCTCATCCCCCAAGCAAGAACCAACAGGACTTCCCCCACCCCCTGCTCCTGGCGCACGTGTCTGAGCAGTGACAGCTTGACACATCTCTCGTTTGCCATTGCAGGGCAGAAAGCACAAGGGCCAGGAGTCCAAGGATGAGCCTCCAAACAAAAGGTTTGGCATCTTCTTCTGCTGTGATCTTGCCCTTTTGCACCTTCATGTGGCAGAGGGGACCATGCCTGGGGCAGGGCTGGCTGGGCCACGACTGTTGCCTGACCACAGGGGGACATTTGGAAGTTCACCACCCAAACCGGAGTCGTCTCTCAGTGTGACCCAAGGAGCTGGAAGTGAGCTCGGCATGGCTGGGAGTCCCTCAGGGTTCCTGAGGCGAGGGGTCTCGCATCTGCTCTCTGCCTGGATGGGGGACCCTGTGGAAATCCAGGGCATGCTCCCAGCACCTCAATGGAGGAGGGATAGCAGGAAGACAAAGGAGCAGAAAGCCCTTGTGCAGTCTCATCTCCAAGAAACTGGACATTAATGTGGCTGAGAAATGGGCGGTGTCAGAATGGTGGGACGAGCCCTTGACTGGGCTATACTGCTTCAGGCCGCAGGTGAAGAAGAATGTGGCCGAACTCCCTGAGCACCGAAAAGAGTGACAGAGGGAGAGATGGCCAGACTGGGCAGAGGCAGTGCAGACTGCAACTCGACTGGGGAAGCAGTGGAAACATTGCAGACATTACAGTAACTGAAGCCTTTAATGTTCTGTTGTTGCAGGATGAGGCTCACCGACCAGGACTCCTGCCCTCCCCGCCTTCCCACGTGCCTACTTCTTCCTTTCCATCCCTTCACTCCATTGCTCCTTCGCCCCTTCACAGCCACCCAAACCATAACCCCTTCTTCAAGCCCGCCACACAACCCCCCCTTCTCTTTTGCTCTCCGTTCCTGAAATTTGTTTTGAGTGTAAATTTATTAGTTATACATTTTTCCCATCATTTCAATCATTTCATATTATTCAAAGTTTAACAAATAAAATAGAATAGTTTGCACTGTTGGGAAGACAGATGTTTACAAACCAAAAAAAAAAACCCAAAACCCCCAGAAGTGAACAGACGTGGCTGAGCCTGCGATCGCGGGACTTGAAACCTGTCACTCCAAGCAGTCCTGTGAGTGAAGGATCATGCCTGAGTTCAGTCACGAAGCAAACCAGCCCTTGAGCACCAAAGGCCAGGAGCTTTCCCATTGTTTCTCTGTAGAAGAACAGGAAGCACTGGGCAGATGCAAGGCTGCATTGGTGACCTGTTCCAGCAACACAAGCTGAGTCTTTTAGCAACAGCAGATACCGTGTTTCTAGCTAAGAAAGATGCACCTGCCAATTTAGCTTGTGATTTGATTCGGACAGCCCAGCTCCTGCAACCAGGATGGCTAGAGGCATCTCTTTTAGCTTACCATGCTGCTAAGTTTATTTGCATGAGCACAGAGGAAGCAGCCAAAGGAACTCTGTGTTTGGGGCTACAGGTATGTCAGTGACCAGGCTGCCCGGTCTCCTGCCCTTTCCCACTGGGCATATGCATTGCCTTTCAGATGACAAACAAGGACTCTTCCCAGTTGAGGTAGGGGTGAGTTGGGAGACTGCAGAGGAAGGCAGCACCTAATACAATGCAATGGAAGGTTTGCAATACGAATACTTCAAATCCTCTGACTTTTTATTTTAAGGAACTGAAATAGACTGTGCATTTTTGATTTTTAACTCCCTGCCTTGAATTCTCGATATGAATCCAAATGTTGGCAGGACTAACAAGAAAGAGTTGCGCAAAGGGGCCGGGAGTACAAACGGTCCTCACTTTCCACTCCCGTTGGGGCAGCAGGTTTGGGAGGCCGACCAGGCAGCGGGCAGAAGGCTGATCTGCATGATTTTGGACAGCCATGTGCTTTTTTCCCCAGCACAGTCTGCAACTTGAAGGTGTCACCTCTCTGTAAGGCTGCCCAGTTTGAGCGCAGCTGAAAGATTAAAAGCAAAAGACGAGGTAGCAGAAGGGGCCTGTAGTTGCCCTTCAGCAATGTACCCCTGGGCAGCAGAGGGAACAGACCGGCACACATCCCACCTGTGCTGCGCCTTCCCCACCAGCGGTGTGATCCGGTGCTTGTTCGGACAGAAGGCGACCCTGCAGTTCCTGCCATGCCACAGCCAGCGACAACCATTTCTGGTGGCACAACTCCAGGCGTTTCCACACACCAAACCATTCCTGGCAGTTTTTTCTCCTGAATCAAACATACTTTTGTGTCCTATGACAGTGTATTCCCACTGAGGTTGCAGCAACAATTTCTGGATGTGTCTGCATCCATGTACATCAACACATGCTGACTATGTGCATATCTTTTGGGTTGATGCATTTCTTTGCCTATTTTGCCTCCTGGGTTTTTGGTTTGGGTTTGTTGCCTTTTTGTATTGTATTTTTTGCAAAGCAGTCATGGCCACTCTCTTCGCAATAAGGTGGCAAGTATTTGACTCCCCATTGTGTACAAATGGCAACAGAAAAATGATTCTCTCTCCCCTGCCCCACCCAAAGTCGGGGGCTGACGGGAGGAGAACAGAGGGGTGAAGTCTGACCATGAGAGATTCGTGTGAGCCCCATTCTCTTCCGGTGTGCCAAACAAATTCCTGGGCTTGGGATCCTTCCATTCTGAAGTGCACACCTCTTCCAAGGGGCTCAGAGTGCTGGGGGAGAGGATCCTGCAACCCGGTCTGTGCCTTCCACTTCCAACACCGCTGCCAATGCAGCCACAGATGCACCCAGCTGGGACCAGCAGCTCCAAGGCACGGCAGAGCCCTGATTAAACAAACACTCAGGCCAGGCCAGGAGAATAAGGATACAAACAAACATACTATGGCCAAATAAAAGAACTGAGACACTTAGAAAATCTTGTTAAAATAGAGATATATTTATGTTTCTCAGGTTTTAAGGGCCAGGGGTCACCAATTTTCAGCACTTGTGCCAACTTCCTCTGTGGCACACAAGGACACAGCATTCGTCTGAGCGATGGACGAGTGAGTGAGTTTGCAGCAAAGTACTGAATCCGACAGTGACCTTCACCTCTGTGCTTCTTTCCCATGCATTGGCAACCTGCACTTGACCAAGGTCAGGGTGTGATGGGCAGCCTCATTGGACTGTGCCCCACATGACTCTGCTTTAAAGGACAGCATAGAAAAGATTTCAAATTATGGTTAGTATCAGTTTTTCCATATTTAGCGGCAACTGTGGGAGGGGCACCCCCCAGCCATTAAGATTCACCTGTGACTTTCCTAGTAAGGTTCCTGTGGAAATCACTTGGAGAAAATGTCAGACCATTCTTCAGTGTTAATTCTATCTCTATACAGCATGGATGCTGCTTCTGGCGACACCAACAGCTTGCTTCTTCAGTGCTTAACTAGATAAATAAGGGCCAGTTCACATATCATGTGGCAGTAAACCTGGGTTTGCAGCTGTATGCGCACTTCCAAAGAGAGCTGCATTAAATACTCACTAAGCCAGTGTAGCGTAGATCAAAACATTTGTGCACATCACTTGATTTCTCTGTGCTTGATGCCTGCAAGTTGAATATGTGAACAAACTCTGTTGAAAAAAAAGTATTGAATTTAAGGCGGTGTGCAAGTTCCTTGTGGCTTTTGGATTTACAACAGCCCAGTCGCATATGAGAAACGTCATGCAGCATTGTTGTGGTCCTCAATCGATGCTTGTGCAAACAGGCTCTTTTTGCAAATGTACATTCACTACATTCACAATGTTACACAGTCAGGTTTATCCAGAGATGCATCTTTACATTAAAAAATGCAATGGATGAAGCAGCCCTAAAACTAAGGCCTATTTCCCCTGCAATCAAAAGCCAGAGTTGCTAGTGCAAAACAGTTGCATAGAAGCTAGAGAGGTGTCCAGCTTTGATCCAGTTGTACTCTACATTCAAGGGACTAGAGCTTTGATGCAGCCATTGGACAAGAAGTCCCATCATCAGAATCCCTCAGCTCCCAGCAGTCCAAGCACTTCCAAAAGAGAGAGAAACAACTAACCTGAGTATACATGATAACTTTGCAAGCTCTTGGGAAAAGCTCCTTTGCTTTAAGGCATATTTACAACTATTCAGGCCAGGTTTGAGGGATCCTTCACCTAAGAGCCACGGATTTCTATGGCAGCAGTGACAGGCAGCTCATTTAAATTTCCCACAAGACCTCTGGGCCAGAGGTAGGCAACCAACCAGTGGACAGATTTGGCAATTTGATAAACCGTTCTTGGCACCAGCGCAAAATGGCAACCGTAACAGGCAAAGGGCAACTAACCTGTCCAAATCACTGAGTGCACAGCAGAGGTGCAGTCGCTCAAACAACTCCTCTGCACCCAGTTTTCAGTATGAACAGTAATTTCATACTTTTTCACCTCAGTTATTGACAAGACTCTGAAGAGGAAATCTGAAGGGCATTCAGAAAGGTGCTTGCATGTGCATTGGCAGTATTGTGTAAAGTTCAGTGCCAGTGCCTATCACATGGGTATGCAACACAGCTGCTGCCTCTCCACTGCCACGTTCTGCACCAGCCACGCTCTCCCCTTCTAGCGATCACCCCACAGGCTGCGCCTTCCCTGTTGCAGCGAGCAGAGAGGAAGAGCTGGGATGGGAGTTGCCCGTGTGCCGTCATCCGCATGCATTCCCTCCCTCCATCTCACGCATGGGAAGACTGTGTCGGCACGGCTTCTCTGTGTGGTGCCTCGCTGGGTCACCAACCTTGCTTTGCAAGGATGAGCTCGGGTTCCCCAAGGAGTCAGAGCTCCACAAACCACATAGAGGCGCAGCGCTTTATCCATGCGTGAGAAGCTAAACCTCCAAAGGTGAGTAAAGACTTCTCACTCTTCATTGAGGCACTGCTCCCCACATTCATTTTCCACCTTTGGCCCTTTGCCTGGGAGGGACCGTCAGTGACACGTTCAGCAAAATTGCAAGCTCCACTATGCTAGTGGTCAGCAGCTGGAAGACCAGGCAGAAAGCCGCACCCCGTTGCTCGCTGAGAGCCAAAAGGACATGCAGGTCAAGTGGAGTCTGTGCAAGTGCTCGCCAGCTGAAGAGATGGGAAAAGGGAAGCTAGGGCCAGAACAGCGAGTCGGCTTCCACCTCCAAACCCAAGCAGAGCAGCATGTACTAAATGGATTTGCAAATGCTTAGTCACCGTTGCTGATTAAATAATGGGCCGCAAATTTCATGATCATTCAAGTATTCTATTCCAAAAGGCATTTGTATGTTAAGAGAAGCATTTGGGGGAACTGCAAATCATGACTCCTCAAGCTTCAGAGGCCAACCAGTCCAGCATGCAACAGCCCATGAAGAAAGCAAATGAGCTCAGCCATAAATAAGATATTCGCTATAAAGAACCCTGACAGTACATTCATTCTCAGGGGAAGGAAACTGCAGGCGCATGGGAACAGTGAGACTGGGGGCGGGTGGGCAATCCCATGTCTGCGCATCTGCTTTTCACGGCTTGCCTTCCTCACGATAGGCACTGGTGAGACTTAGGCAGTGATGCCTTTGGCATGGCTGAAAAGAAGGTGGGCATGCCCTCCTCCGCTGTGCACGGAAGGGCGTGCATCCTGTGAGCATCACACATGGGGGCCTGGCCCCCCCAGCCTAGATTCGCACGACCTGTTCTGCGAGCTTTACGAGCTTCGGAGCAATGTGAAGAGCCCCCAGCCCACTGCTTCACAAATGCACAGGGAAGGGACGGGACCGCCCCCCCCCCCCCCCCCCAGCCTAGCCAGCACTCAGGCTACGCACTAGCTGCAGAGGGCTCCATGTTCCCTTCCAGGGCTTCCTAAGGATACTTTTAGATCCTCTGGAGTTAAGTGCACGTGGCCCTGGCCCTGGCCCTGAGCTGGATCGAGGAGGAGGAAATTAAACCTGCTTCACCTCTGTCATGCCATGGTTTGGGCTTTATTTTCTTTTAACCTGCAGACACACTGGGAGGGGTGTCTGGTATGCAAAGGTGATGGAGTTTTCTTCTCCTCTTCTGGTACACCATGATTCCAACTGATATTGGGGCCACACACTTCCTGTGTGACCTGCTATGAAGTTAATATAATGCGTAGTTCGACCCTGGGTTCAAGCAGTTAGAACATACCCTATGCATGTTTAGACAGAAAGAAGTCCCACAACCCCCAGCATTTCCCAGCCAGCTCCACTGGGAGTTTTAGACTTTTTTCTCTTCTAAACATGGACGGCAATTTTACCCTTAACAACTCTTCCCACCCAGTTTCCACCTGATGTTCAAAATCAGCTTGCTCCCCGGCAGAGCTGGAGCTGCATTGAAGGAGCAAAAGAGATGCTTCCCAAACTCTGGGGGTCTTCTCCCAGCTGCCTCTCGGGTGGGATCAGTGGGATCCTTGCCTCTTACTGATTCCCCAACCAGCCACCCGTGCCCTTGCGAGCGTCCTCTGCAGGGGGCCGAGGCCGGGGGCAAGGATGGGCAGCTGCAGATGGCAGTGCCTTGCAATGACAGCCTCACTGGCCTTTGCGCGCAGCTGGTGTCCTCACCGGTTTGCACCTTTCACCAAAATGGGCAACCTCTGACAAGGTGGGGTGGAGAAGGGGACCAAGGGAAAGCGGGAAGAATAGGAGGAGGACAGGGAAGGAAGGCTGAATGGGAATGAGGAGGGGGGAGAGTGAGAGGGTGAGGATGGCCAGGGGAAACCAAAATGGAGGAGGAAGGCAGAGATGGGACAGAAAGGACGCCACAAAAGAGGCCATGTGGAAAGATCCAGGAAAAGCTATTCTTATTGGGAGGAAAGGGCAGTCCTGGACTGGGATGCAGGGTCGAGTTACTCTTTTCAGGAGCAAGGAGAGTACTCCTGTTAGGAACACACTTGCCAGACACCCTGCTTTGTGTGGGAAAGAAGGACTTTCCCCCCTCCCTGGTTTGGAGGGACTGAAGGAACAACTGTGTGGTTTTGCTCTTGGGGTGAGGAAAGGGGAGGCTTGGGCAGAACTGCCCATTCAAGATAGAGCAGCGCGGCAGCAACAGGCCTGGGAGCGGCTGGCAGTCCTGGGCCCAGCACAGATCCCTTCTTCAGGGCTGGATCCATCCCGTGGCTTTTCGGGCCTATTTGCCCCTGCTTCTGGAGAGCTTTTCCCTTCCTGTTACAGCTTAAGTGGGCTACCAGTGAATGCGGCCTAGACAGGCCTACTTAACTTAATTGACTGTCCAAAGGCACCTCTTGACAGTGGCCAAGCTGAGGAATGGGTCAAGGGGATTCTGGTGTTGTTCTACCTCAAAACCCAGTGACACTTCTCTCAATTCCACCCTTTGGGAATTCTCTCCCCCTGCAAAAGCCATTTCTCTGCCTGGGAAGTGTCCACAGAATTTCGCATGCTGGGCAGCATGAATCACCACCCTGTGGGAGAGCAAGTGGCTGGGGCAAGCCTGTTTAGACTCACACAGGATCGCACCTTATGCCGATTCCAAGAGCAGCAAAGCCCACACCATATCCTCTCACCCTCCTTTTCTTGCCAGTGAGAAACACCTGGCTCAGGTAGGCCCTTAGCTGCTAGTGCAGCCTTCTAGCAAGGGGCCTCAGAAAAAGTGAAAAAGGGGGCAGGAGAGAAGCCTCTTGCACCAGCTCCTGGAATCAGCACGTGCACCCTGAGCCCCTCAGCCGTATCTCGTAATCCACCAAGGGATTATGAGCCCACAGAGGGGCACTCTAAAAATAAGCATTTTTTTTTTCCTGCTGAAAGAATGCCCAGCAAGACATGGACCCCACTTGCTTAAAAAGAAAAAAAGCATACACTGGCCTAGTAGGATGGTGGAAAATGTTCTGTGTGTCAGAGTTCCAGCTTCGATCTTAAAGGTGAAGCCTCTCCCCCTCAGGGAGCGCTTCTCCTATACAGAGTCACTAAATCCTTTGTTACTCCTTTCCGTTGACCTGCAGGCACCTTCTTCCGCTCTTCTAAGCTGCGGACCTCTTGCAAGACCTGTGCAGCTTGCCGCAGCTGTGCGGCTGCTTCGTTGAGCAGTGCCTCTGCATTTACTGGAGGTCCGTTGCCCCCCGGGGCCTGCTCAAGTCCTCCCTGCAGAACCTTCTGCAACAGTTTTTCAGTGTGTTCCTGTTCCGAAGTGACTTTCTTCTCCATCTGGGCCACAGAGAAGCCAGTTCCCTGTTGGAGAGTGGGGCCCATAAGGGGCTGCTTTGCTGGGGCTGACAGCAGGTTCTCCAGAGAGGCAGAGCGAGGCTTGGTACCTGGAGGACTTTCCGCAGGTGCCGGCGATGGCCCCAGATCTTTAGAGGGGACATTCCCCTGCTCCTTGGTCTCTCCCAGCTCTGTGGGGGGCTCCCGCCCGTCTTGCTCCTGCCCGTCAGGAAAAGCGGGCTGTGTCGTTCCGTGGCCAAGTGGGCCATTTTCTGCAGGTTTCACGTCTTCAGGGGGGCAGTCGCCTGCCTCTGAACTGCTCTGCTTAGATAAATGCATGCTGGCTCTCAGGCGCTCCGAGAGAATCTTCGGAGGAGGAGCTGGGGGCTCCTGCACCGCTTCACCGCTGCCTGCTGGGGGACATTCAGCCTCGAGACCGTGCAGCCCAGAGGCTGGGTCATCCCAGGTCACTTTCATTTTCTCAGAGGAGATCTTGGCGGGAGGAAGGGGAGGCTTGGGGGCATTTTTGTTGGTCTCCATTAAGTTCTCTCCAACTGGGACAAGTTGGGATTCTGCAGGACCGTCACTCATAGCTTCACCATCCCTGCCTCTTCCTCTTCCTCCCTCCTCCCCATCCCCCTCTCCATCCCCATCCCCCTCTCCATCCTCATCCTCATCATCGTCCTCCTCCTCCTCCTCCTCCACAGAATTCACATTGTCACTGAGGGCTGCTGCTTCCTTCAGAGGCTTAGCTGGAAGCATTGGAGGTTTCTTGACTTCTAGATCTTCAGAGCTGGAATCAGCACTCAACTTCTCTGAAGGGGGCATGGGTGGTTTTATGGGAGGCAGAAGAGGCTTTGGGGTCTCCTTTGAAGGAGGAGCATCAGTGTCTTCACTTGTCAGCAAGGTGCTGTTCGGAGGGCCACTGTCTGGTGCATCCAAGTCAAGCCTCAGGATCCCATCTGATGTAGCACTGGCAACCTAGAGAAGAAAACAACCAAGAGATCTCAGTGTCAGCTGTTTGGATGCTCTGTTTTTTGGAGAACCAAAAATGGCTGAGCTAAATTAAGAGATCTGAATGTAAACCAGAGCTGTGTGGATGCCACAATTTCCTCTCACTGAGCATCAAGGATGTTTGCTTGCAGAGTTTTCTGTAACGCAGCAGATTCACACATCTGTGTCACAGCCTTCCTGCATGGTCACAGCACTGAAGGGGCAGAAGTAAAGCACAGACTCCTGCTCTGGCTACCTCATGCAGAACAGTGAATGGGAATGCAGGTCTGTGTGATGGCACCTCTTGTGCAATTCACAACCCACTTTCCATTTTAGATTATTTGCAAGAGCAGGGACCAGTTGATACCCAGGGTATCAGATTTTGCTTTATATGTATCATTATACTTGTTGGGTCAAACAATTATTTCATTCCTGTTCGTTTTTGCAACCTACAATTTGACCAGAAGTCCAGTTCTTGGGAAATTGGGAAGAATCCCCAAGCTTGCATTCATGTTCAAAAATGTTAACCCTGCATATCCAAAAATCGGCATTCCCTGAAAAATCTGCATTTTTACACTTTAGTCTGGGGGGAAAGATTGAGTTTTCGGTGCATACTTTGAAAAAGGTATATTTTTCCCAATTGGAAAAGAAAGAGGCTCATAGCCAGGAACATAAAGGAGGCAAGACAAGGGTCAAGGAGGAATTCAGTGAACTACAGCAAGCCTGACAATCGCTCACTCACCCCTAAATACACATGTATACTGGTCATTTATATATTTTTAGTGTATTATATTTTAATTGATGTTTTGTGAGCCGCCCCGAGGCTTCGGCGAATGGGGCGGCATAGAAATTTTCTAAATAAATAAATAAATAAATTTACTAGTATCTTCAAGTAATTTTCATGGTAAATATTAAAAGATGCAAATCAAGGACTCAAAGACATAGTAAGAAACAAAAACCATTAAACCATTTTCGTAGAGTGCAGCAATGTGGCAATTACTTGCCACAATTACTTGCCAGGGAGAACTTTCATACAAAGGTATATTTTCAAGGGATTTTACATTTTTCCAGGAAGCACTGATATTTCTGCCTTAAGGACAGCCTCTTCCAAGATGTGATGGCCTGGCCATCCATCATCAAAGGCTCTGTGCTTGGTGTCCCCTCGTTGGAGGCGACGTGGGACAGGGGCTTTGTAGCAGCAGCCTCCAGATTCTGGGAGCTCCAAAGAGCAAACTCCAGATCAGCAGGGCTTGGGGGATTTCCCATTCTGATCGTTACCTCTTTTAGGTGGCTTCTGGTTGGTGGACGGCGGCCCTTTGCCAGCTTGGCTCTGCCTCGAGTCACATGTTCCAGACAGAGGCTTTCATCAACCTTTACCTTAAAGCAGAAAGGAAATAAAATAAGGGATGGAGGAGAGGACATCACTCTTTTGACCTCTGAATGGCTGAAGACAAGACTTAGAGCAGCCTTATAAACCTGCAAAGCAACACAGATGGTGGCAATTCCTTCACATGTTAATTGGTACAACACATGGGCTGTCCACTGTGTGGATGCAGCAATGATGGAGGATTCCTAAGATGAAGGGTGGCCAACCGAAAGGGGTGAGCGACCTGCGGCCCGGTCTTACGTGTTTCCAGACTTCCTGCACCACATACTCTGAAGCAGAACGGCTCACACTACAGAGGTCCCCAGTTCTACCCCCAGCATCTCCAGCCATCCAAAACCCCGGAGAGCAACTGTCAGTGAGCACAGATCAGCCTTCCCCAACCAGATGCTCTCCGAGGTGCTGGACTGCAACTCTCATAATCCTTCACTTATGTTCCGAGCAGCATCCCAGCACTTCTGCAGGAAAGCAGGCAGAGGAAGGCTAATGCAGAGAACACAGCCAGGCTGACTTCTGCCTGGAGAGGGTAATTCCCAGGGTCTCTGCCTTGGAGTGTGGGCTGGGGGAGACCCTTCCCACCAAGCTACTCAGGGCCACAACAGTGTTACTGCCAGCTCTCCAGCTCCTGTCTTGTCTTGCTTGGGAAAGCTCCCCCCAGCACGCCACCCCCAATACCAGGCTGAAAAAGACAGCTGTCACAAGGTGCCACGGCAGAGAGAGAGTGCAATCCATGGACTAGGAGGCTGGTGAACAAAGCATATTCCACGGTTTGTGTACCTGAGGCAAAGACGGGGCTAAGCACTTTCAAGCATCACAAGCAAGCTTCTCCCAAAGCAGAGAGACTGCATGTGCCAAGCAGCCCCGATGCAGGAGAAACGCCGGCCAAATCTTTGCTGTGACATGCTTTGGAATCCTGCTCATCCAGGAGACAGTCCCTTTGGGAAGCTGTGGACAGAGGGCAGGTGGAGCTCATGGGCGCAGCCAGACACCCAAGAAAGTAACGGAGGCCCCAGGATTCACAAGGCACCAGCTCAGGGCACTCCCAATGGCACCCTGGCCCCAGGCAGTGAGTCCAGAGATAGGGCAAAAGCAGCCAGCATCAGCCCAACCCGAAGTCACTCCCGCAGCCCTTCTCCTGTACTGGTGTCAGCGCAGCTGTTCTCCACCCTCTTGCTCCACTTTGCCAGCAACTGTAGCAGCCGTGCCCTGCCAGCTGGCCCGGCATGCAATTCGGCACCCAGCCTGACCCAGCAGCGATGCCACCCTCATCTGGCACCCGGCGGCATTTCCGTTCTGCCATGGTGGGAGATGCCAGCCTAGCCCCCCCACCCCGCCTGCATATGCCACTGGAACAAGGAGTCACCCCGTTTGGACTGATCTTATGAAACCTTTTCCTTCTCAGCAGAATGGTGCACATCCATGCAGCTTACACAAGAGAGGAGATGGGGGGGCGGAGGGCTGGGAAGGGAACCAGACTCCAAGTTCATGCAGAGTTTACATTCCTCTGCCAAAACCATCTTTGATACAGGTCTACAACTGGCCAGCCCAAACAGTTTTCCTGCTCTGGCCAAGATACATCCATTCCCCCTCGACTCTGTGCGCCTGGCTCCAAGTTCCGTCCTTCACAGGCCACTTTAGTGATTCACCGGCTTCACTACAGGGGAAAGACTGCAGAATGAGTGAATGGAGGAAATGGCAGGGGACTGTCTTGCCCCATCTAGAGCACCATGCAGCCTACCCACTTTGGGCAACCTTTGCCGATAGCCAAGGATTGGGTTGGCCAGTTGGTGTATAGCTCTGAGCCACATCCAAGCACGAGGCTTGCCATTGCCCCAGAAGCTCAGTCAGCAGCCCTGCTCCTCCCATTCCCCACTCTAGCTGGGGCTTCCATGGCTGCTGAGGGGAGGAGAAAGGGAAAGCTTAGTGCTCCTGGGATACCTGGAAGACCAAGCGGGCAGGTGAAGGCACCCTGGCCCCAGAGCGCTGATGGTCCGGGCCAGGCACGTCAGGGGCCCGAGGAAGCGGTCGCACCTGTCCCTAGCCCTTGCTTCGTCTAGCAGGCCTTCCACAGCCCCCCTTTATTTGTTCCACACATCTGGAACAGACAGCAAAAACACTTCCCATCATGCAAGCTTGGGCTGGGCCCTGTCACTTGGTTCTTCCCAAGCCCAGGGCCTGTTCATACTTGATCCCCCTTTTCCTGGCCCCATGTGGCATCCAATGCCAAGTTCTGGGCTTTGGTGCAGGGTCCACATCAGAGGAAGCTACTCAGTTTGCTCACATTCAGATAAGCAGCCGCCCGAACCCTTATCCTTTCCCAACCTGCCACCTGTTCAATTCAGTTGGGACATTATGGGAGTTTTAATCCAACTCATCTGGAGAGTGCCGGGTTGGGCAAAACCACTCTAAGCTATTGTTCGCACATCACAACAACCCAGAGCACATGCTTTCCACTTGCTCCTACTTTGAGTGGAAAGCTTGTTTCTTGTAAGGTATGAACCAAGAACCCTCCAAGAGCCAGAGAAGTAAGCCAGCAACAAACCCTGGGTTCCTGGTCCTTGGGTTGAGATATGCAGCCAACTGTCAGGGGCTCGGTTCCCCCTTCTCAATTTCAGAACAACAGACCATCCTTTGGCAAATCCTCTGCATTTGCCGTGTACATCCAGCAAAATATAACCAGCAAAGAAAGAGTCTTTGAGCATGCACAGAGGGGTTTGTTGAACCTAAATTAGAAACGCCTTCCGAGAACCCTTCTTCTGAGGAACCGTGGACCCCACCCCTCAGGAGTGTCAATCTGGAGCCAGGCCAGCCTCTTGGCTGTATGCAGCCCTTCTAGTTCGCTAGACCTTCTGCCTCGATGCCACATCGTGGGGTCAAGGACAATAGCAGGTGCATCAGGCTCCTGTCCCATGTCCCCTCCAGACACTTGCGCCCACCAGAACATCTGGAGATGGTGGCCCTGAAGCATGCACCACAAACCACACCTTCTTTCATTCCCAACACTGCCTGACTCGGCATTTTACCTCATCCAATATCCGGTTTTTCCCCCGGTTGATGCCGTCGTTGAGGGCTTTTATCCAAGCCTCCTTTTCCTCCTTGGTTGATGCCTGAAATTTGATATCCTGTACCTGGAAAAAATAGAAAAGGAGACAGAGTCACACATTATCCAAAGAGTATGATTCTGGTTCATGGTTCCCAGTTGGGCTCTGCATTCAAAGCCAGATGCCCCGGGTTTGAGCCCCGCTGTCTTAGCCTGTAGAAATGAAGGATTTCTTAAGCTCCTGACCAGACGCAGGGAGATGAGTTGTGACCCAGATGGAGACCACAGGCCATCGTCTGCCTGGAGTCACACTCCACCTTCCTGGGGATGCTGGTTCAGTATCTACTGGTGGGGGGAGAATTGCAAGGAGGACCTAGACCACTGCCATTTGTGGGGTGGGGGGAGGAGGATTTGAGCAAACCAAGCCAATTGCCAGGAAGGTGAGAACATTCTCTCCTGTGCATCCATGCTTGCCTGGCACCTTTCTGTGGTGCACCCTCACCACCCCGATTGGGTCTGCCCACTCCATTATCCTACATACATGGGTCATGCCTCACAGAAAGGAAGAGGCCTATAACTCTGTCCTTCTCCCCTAGCTGCAATCTGCAAGGACTGAAAAACTATCCACTGGAGAAGTCTACTCCTTGTGGCTGAAGATGCTACTGCCAGCCTCAACCATATGGAGACGCTGGACACATTAAAATTATTTAAAATCAATTAATGTGTGCAAGATCAATTAACTGACACCAAATAATTTTAATGTGTTTAATAGAACAACAAGCTGCAAACCCCTAGCCCCCACCTTTGTATGCATGCCAAGTTTCAGGGGGCTAGGTTTCACAATGTTGGGCCTACAGTGGTGATGGACAGTATTCAGTATTATAGATTTAAATGCTCTCTGCCATAGAGATGACCACAGTGATGAATGGCAAACAATGGCTTGAAGTATAACATCCTTTCCACACACAGCACAGAGTTCACAGAATGGGCCTTCCTCTTGTCAGCCTAAATGTCTTTCAACCAGCATTAACATCATTGAGGCCAACAATAAAGAATTCTTCAAATATGTTGGAAATAAAAAACAAGATGGAGAGACAGTTGATAAGGGGAGGTATCTAAAAGAGGATAAGGAGACTGTGAAGAACCTGCATGGATTCTTTTCATCAGTCTTCAGAGCATACAACACAGATAGCAGTGACAAAAGATGAAATTTAATTAGACTAACAAACTGCAAGATAATAAAAATCACTGGGCCCAAATGCTATCCATCCTAAAATTCTTAAACTCAAATATGGAAAAGCTGACCTTCTCACAAAAATATGTAACATGTTTTAAGATCAGCCTCTGTACCAGGGGACTTGTGAATGGTCAATGTAACAACAATTTTTAAACAGGGATCAAGGGAGGATCTGGGAGATAACAGGTTGGTTAGCTCAAGTAAATTGATTGAAAGCATTATTAAAACATTTGTACATATACTGAAGGACAAGCTGTGCTGAAAAAGAATCAATGTGGCTTCTGCAAGAGTAAATTCTTGCAATGGAGGGATGGAAAAAGTGGGGTCCCACATTGATTTTGGGACTTGTGCTTTTCAGCTTATTCATAAATGATCTTGAATTAGGAGCAAGCAGCAAAGTGGACAAGTTTGTTGCTGACCCCAAATTATTAGGGTGGTTATATCCAAAAGGGATAGTGAGAAACTCCAAAAAGATCTCTCCAGGTTGGGAGCGTGGGCATCAAAATGGCAAATACAGTTCTATGCAAGCAAGCAAGAATAAAGTGAAGCATGTTAGGCCAAAAGAAGAAAAAGGATCCCAACTCTGAGCTGACAGATATTGGCTGCCAGTGACTGAGCAGGAAGAGGACCTCCGGTTGTGGTCAAAAGCTTGATGAAAATGCCAGCCCAGTGCATGGCTGCTGTAAAACAGGAAAGACCCATGTTGAGCACAGTTAGGAAAGAAACTGAAAACGAAACTGCCGTTAGCATTCTGCCTTCATACATCTCTATGGCGCTATTGCACTTGGAATACTGTGTACAGCTGTTGCACCTAAAAAAGCTATCGTGGAATCAGAGAAAGGGGCACCTAAAATAAGTAATAAACTGGAGCAACATGAAGAAACAGCACCACGGCCAAGTTGGTTTGGCTGAGAAAGAAGCGAGTCCGGGGAGGCATGGCAAAGGTGTGCAGAAGAGTGGCGGAAGTGGGGAGGGGGACCTTTTCCTCCCTCTCTCAGAACACCCGGACCCAACGGGGTCATCCCAGGAAGCTGCCTGGAGGGAGATTTGGGGCAGAGGAAAGGAAGTGCTGCTTCACCCGCTGCACGGCGAAGCTACGGAATTCGTCTCCGCGAGAGGAGAAGACGGCCACCCATTCGGAGGGCCTTAACAGTAGAATGGCCCAACGCATGAAGCAGGGGCTCTGAGCGGCTACCGGCCCCGAGGGCTGCATGCAGCTTTGAGTATCAGAGGCAGAGTGCCTGGGCACACCAGTTGCTGGGGAACATGGGTGGGACAGAGCTGTGGCACTCGTGTCCTTGTGAGCAGCTGGCTGGTCATTGTGGGAACAGAGTGCAGGGTCCAGCAGGGCCCCTCTCACGTTCGTAGAATGATCGGCTCCCTGGGAAGGGAGGCTCCGCTGGGGCACAGTGAGCGTGAGGGAGTAGAGAGCGCTGCCTTTCCTCGCCGCACAAGCAATTTAGGATTCAAGCCAGCTGAAAAACAACTCACAGTAAATGGCAGTGACAGCTCAGACGAGCAGCAGGTGCAGGTCACTAACAAGAGGCATAAACAAACCACAGTGTTGCAGAAGTAATTCATAAAAGAGAAGGCCTACAAAGCAACCCCATATTGCCAAGAGAGCCAACAAGAACCTACTGGAGAGGGAATAAAAATAGTCACTCGCAAGCCGAACACCTTTCAAAAGCGAAGCCTTTTAATATTGCACTGGAGGGCAGAGAGGGAGTAAACTTGCTCAGGCAGAGGGTGGCAGAGCTGTGGAGAAGGTGATCCAGCAGGGCCCCTATGTCCATAAGCAAAGTGGCAGACTCTTCAGCTGGAAACTTGCCTCGAACATGGGTTCTTGCAGTTTGCACAAATGCCTTCACTGAAAGTTTCGAGGCCTCATGATCAAACACACACACACACACACACACGTGCGGGCAAGATATGAAAAGCCATGCTCTCCCATGCAGTGACCACTTCTGCAGGTATACTTCCTAATTTGTCTCTCTAACACAAGGATGCTGAAGTTTTTCAGCCTGAGTTTCAGACAAGCTGCTGCTTTCCAGTTATGAATGGGATTGGAGGCAACGGGGTCAACGGGGATATTTTAGCCTGAAGCTCTTATGGTAACTTGTAGCGATCCAGATGTCTTTGCCTAGAATTCCCAATGGCCCTTACCACTGGCTATGCTAGGTAGGGCTGACGGGAGTTGTGGGCCCCAGACACAGGCTTGGCCATGAGTTATTCGCCCCTACTTAAGCCTTAAGAGAGGCAGTTCAACTGCTTGGAATGGGGGAAGAGGGACTTGGAAAAGGGGTGGAACACCACTGAAAACTGGAGGCTGAGAACAGAGGTTGTTATCTAGTGAACTCTGGAGAGCTGGACCAGGGGTGTGCTAGCCTTGGGGCTGCTTGAAACTCTTGGGGCTGGTTTGATGAAAACTTAAACCAGGCCAACAAGACGGAGCTAGATGGACTAGTCGCCTGATTCAGTGAAAGTCACCCCTTTGCATTCTTCACCTAGATCAGCCTTCTCCAACACTATGCTATCCAAACGCTTTGGACTACAACTCCCATCATCCTTAACCCCTGGCCATGCTGGCTGGGGCTGAAGTGAGCTGAAGTCCTAAAGCTCTGGAGGGCCCTCACTGGGGAAAGCTGGACCAGCCAGATCCTGATGTGCCTGGGCTCACGTGGAGTGTTCCCCACAACACACACACCCTGCTGTAGCTGCTACAAGGTAAGCAACTGTCAGCAGCCCAAGCAGACAACCAAGAGGGACCCCTGGACGGAGGAGCGTTTTGCTCCTCCCAAGCACTTGGACAGCTGAGCCTGAGTCACTCTCACAAACAAAGCCCTGCGGTGCCAGGAAAGGGAGGCGGAAAGAAGGGCCGTTCTGGGAAAGCAGCAGCACGACAGCTCTGGTGCCGAGCAGAGCAAGCCGTCTGCAGCCATTCCGATTCAGGGTGCAGGATCCCAGCAGATCCACTGTCTTTGTCTACAGCGAACCACCAGCTGGAAACCTACAGGATCGAGAAAAATGGCTGAAGAAACTCGGTGCTGCTGCCGCCGCCATACATTTTAGCAATGGCCACCAACTCAGATGGCTTTAAGTGAGGTTAGACAACTTCATGGAGAAGGCCATCAATGCACCCGCAACTTACATAAACAATACAATCAATATAATAGTAATGAACATAAACTAATAAACAATACATTAACAACAGTGCCTCCTCCACCAGGGCCAACAAATCTTGCCGCTTAATGTGAGATCATTTTTTCAGCCAGGTTGCCCCACTCCCGCCTCCCTCCCATTGACTGGCTCATCTTAAGTCCTGCTGTCTGCATGGCCAGGAGGGCCGGAGCAGACTGACCCCAATCTGACGGCAAAGCAAGGGAGGATTATGGAGGGAGTTGCTTGAAGGGTTAAGATGTGCCAAAGCGCCTTTCCTAACTGACCTTGGCAAACTTCTGGCGTCAGTAACATTTCCAGCATTTATGAAAATAGCCTCTTATTTTCTTTAGCCCCAGAACAACCCTGGCGGGGAGCAGTTATACTGAGGATAATCGCCTGGTGCCAATGTCTTGGGCCAGTAAGAGGGAAGGGGGTGCCAGAGGGAAGGCACGGCTTCCAAGAAGGCATGGCACAATTATGGAAAGGGGGCAGGAACTGGCCCCACATCATGCACAGTCAGTTTCCTTCATTTTTCCTATATAGCAACACTGTACCTCTGTGTTTTCTCTTTTTTGAAATCAGGAATTTTCAGACATGGATGTGCCACTGAAAGGCAGGCACTCAGGGGGCGCCTTTGAAAGTGATGTCTCAGAAAAGGAGCCAAGCGGGTGGAAATCGTCATTTACAAAGTGCCGAGAAATCTACTCCTTGGTCACTTGGCTGTACCAGAAAAACCCTCTGTGCCATTAATGACCAGCATGCAAATCTTCTTTTCTTCCTAAGTCCAGGAGGCCAAAAGGTTACTTGAAAACAAAACAGCCACCAGATATGCTGGGAATTCTGCAGATTCCTGCACCAGACAGCAAGATTAGACTCCACATTGTGTGACTGTCTTGGAAATGTCCTAATATCCTGATATGTATTCAGAGTGCTTTTTTTTGTAAAAAAAAAAAAAAAAAAAAGGTGCCGGAACTCACGTCCCCCACTGGCAGTAAGCACTCAGCACGCTGCGCGACCACACACACCAATCCCAAGCCGAGCAGCAGCAGGCACTATGTTAATGATGTTTGCTGCTGATCTGCTACGATTCAAAATCACTTCGTAAAATCCATTGGAAAAAAAGGTGCCGGAACACCGTTCTGGTGCATTCTATGTCAAAAAAAGCCCTGTGTATCCAGTATCTGAAGATGCACTCTCGTGTATGTGCCCATCTCTTGGCCCCCGCAGCAACTGCACACCGCCATGCCAAACTGTTCGCCCAAACAGTTTGGAGAGGGGGTTTTTACTTTGCACGGTCACAAGAAAAAACAACCGCGGCCCAGTTATGGAGGGTTGAAGATGCTACCATGGAAAGTGTTAATAATGTACCTGGGCTGAAGGAACGTGGTTTTACAGGTGTGTTTTTCAACAGCTGCAATTTCAAAACAGAAAAATGAAATAAGGGCCATCCTATTATTATTCTGGTCTTCCACAACCACACGTGCAAAATTATGTCACCTGCCAAAGCTCAGGCCAGATTTCCAGTGAAGGCCAGTGAAGAGTGAGGCAAAAGCTGAACAGCAAACTTTTCACCAGCCCCGGGCTCCTATCTTAGAGAAAGTGTTTCGTTCAGAAGGAGGTTTCTCCGCCTTCCTGGCCTTTTTTGCAATTAATGGAGCAGGCTGAGAGACCCACGCAGAAGCTCCGCATGTTGGGCCCTGACCAGCACAGGCACACAGAGTGTGACAAGAAGGCTTTCCTGTGGTTCGTGGACATTTGCAGCTCCTTCTGAGCAGAAAGGCTGAATTGACTCAGCGATGATTTTTGCAGGAGGGGAGGGGTGCGTTCAGCATGCAAATACTGTATGGCCTGAACCACACGCTGCAGCAGCGGCAGACACATCAGTCTGCCCATCTACGAAGAGTGTGCACGCACAGCTGCCTGTAGGCTCACACGCGTGTGCAGAAGGAGAAGCCAAAAGGGGTGTGTGGTAAGAGAAGCCGAGCCTCCTGTAAGTTCTACCGCTAAATGCACAACACACACAGTTTGTGTCCCGCCACTGAGACCACGGCATGTGACATCTGCAAGTTTCCAGCACGGGGCCTACACAAGGGAGGCAGCGTAGTATGGTGATTAGACCACTGGGCTGGGACTCAGCAGACTGAGGTTCAAGTCCCTTCTCAGTCATGCAGCTCCCTGTGCGACTCGGGCTGGTCACTGACTCTCAGCCTCACCTACCACACAGGGTTGTTGTGAGGATAAAAATGGAGAGGGGGTCATGGAGGCTTTCCTGGGCGCTGTGAACCAAAGGCAGAACATAAATGAAATTAATACACAAGTCAATGTCCCGGTGCCCAGAGGCTCCCAGCGTGACGCCTACACTTGCTTGCTCCACAGCTGGCGGGGGTCAAGCTGGTGGGGGCTGGCAAGGCTTCATGGCGTGACCTCATATCCCACGTGCGCCTTTTCCATGCCTCACAGACCCTGAGCTGTGGGGCTTGAATGTGCTTCCCTGGAGAAATTCCACACCTTCAGCATAGCGTCTCTTTGGAACGGGCCTGCAACAGACCAGCCCGAGCCCCCGTGCTCTGCAAAGGTGACGCGCCCCCCCCCCCGGCGCTACATGACGGAAAGGCCACCCCAGAGCTGCAGCGGAAGGTCACCAGCTCAAGAGCCGTCCAGAGAAAGAGCTGCAGCAGGCAGTACCAAGCAGGGCCCACTTTGGCTCTTTGAGGTCCCTGGGCAAGACGCCTCCAGCCCTCCGCACATCCCCCTTCTCACCGCCAGCTCTTGCTCTTGTGCTTCCGCACTGGCTGGCTGGGCAGGCAGAGCGCCAGGGAGCAAGAGGGCACGGCGCCTCCCGCTCCTCCTCGCCGCCATCTGGACCACAGCAAGCAGCAGCGGTGAGGAGCAGAAGCGCGTTCAGAGGGCTCTTGCCAGCGGGTCCCTGCTGGAGTCTGGGCCTTGCCGGGTGCTCGGCTCTGCCAGCTCTTGACGCTGCGTTTCATTTGGCTCCGGGGGCAAAAAGGGGTGGAGAGAACACGCACGGCTTCACAGACAGACAGACAGACAGAGAAGGGATCCTACCTTGCAACCAGGAGCCCGAATTAAAATGAACCGGTTTTTCTTTTTCAGGGGCGTGCGCAGGTCTTGGCATCTGTCATACCTTTCCAGCTCCACCGTCTCCATGTACTTTTGCTCTTCCTGCAAGGCAGGGCAGAGGGACCTATGTTTACTTTGCTTTTCTAAGACAGGATGCAGCACAAGCCCTTGCTCAGCTTCGCTGAGGGAGAGCGGGACATCGAGCGGGATGGGGGGCTCACTTCCAACCCCAGCCCAGCCCAGCCCTCACTGGGGGCTGGTCTGCCCACTCTTGCTCTTTTATTTGCTCATTTATTTATTAAATTTCTAACCCTCCCCATTAGCCATAAGGCTATTTGGGCAGATTACAACCAAGTACACAAAATACAAGAAAGAATAAAATACAAACATGCAAAACAATTGCCAATAAAACATTAAAGATAATATAAGGTGGGCCATAATAATACCATATCCACAGTCAAAATGCTACTAGAACAATTTAACAATTAAAATACCATTAAAATAAAAAGGTTTTGGCCTGACGCCTGAAAGACTGTAGGGAAGGTGCCAGGTGAAACTTTCTAGGGAGCCCATTCCAAAGTTGGGGTGCCACTGCAGAAAAAGCCCTTCTTCGTGTCACCGCCCTCCTTACTTCCTGAGGAGGAGGTTCCTTCTGAAGGGCCTCAGATGCAGATCTAAGGTGCGGGGTAGGTGCATACAAGAAGAGGCGCTCCTTTAGATACCCTGCCCCAAGCCATTTAGGGCTTTAAACACCCATGTTAACACCTTGAATTGGAGCCAGTAAAGATGGCAGGGGACCAGCTTTATATGGTTGCATCCGCCAGTTCTCTTTAACAGTCTGGCCACCCTATTCTGGACCAACTGAAGTTTCCAGACCGTCTTCAAGGGAAGCCCCACATAGACCGCGCTGCAGTAGTCCAGACGAGAGGTTACCAAAGCATGGATGACTTTTGCCAGGTCCTGTCTGTCCAGGTGTGGTGACAGTTGGTATATCAGCTTAAGCTGATAGAAGGCACTCCTGGCCACTGAATCCACCTGGAATTCCAGGGATAATTCAGGGTCCAGAAGCACTCCCAAGCTGTGAACCCTGTCCTTTAGGGGGAGTGCAACCCCACCCGGCACAGCGGAGATGTCACCCAACTGAACAGACAGACTCCCCACCAGCAGTATCTCCGTCTTATCTGGATTAAGTTTCAGTTTATTAGCCACCATCCAATCCATTATCAAGGTTAGGCCCTGATTCAGAATATCCACTGCCACACCTGTGTCTGATGAAAAAGAAAGGTAGAGCTGGGTGTCATCAGCATACTGATGACAACTCAGTCCACCCCTCCGATGACCTCCCCCAGCAATTTCATGCATATGTCAAAAAGCATGGCGGATAAAACAGAGCCCCGAAGAACTCCATGGCAGAGATGCCATGGCGCAGAGCAATAATCCACCCCCACCCCCCGCACCACCTTCTGGACACAGTCAGTCAAGGAGGAGTGGAACCACTTCAGAGCAGCACCCCCTACTCCCAATTTGACCAGTCTGTCTAAGAAGGACACGATGGCTGATGATATCGAACACTTCCGAGAGGTCCAGGATCATCCTCCTCCAGGCTGCCTCCCACAGGGCGGCCAAGGCAGTTTCTGTTCTGAATCTGTTCAAGGAGATCCATCTCATCCAAGAGTGCCTGGAGTTGGTCAGCCACCACACGCCTGAACACCTCGCCCAAGGAGAGAGTATTCGTGACTGGCCTGTAATCATTCACGTTCCCTGGGCCCACATTGGCCCTTTTGGGAGAGGCCTAATAGCAGCCTCTTTCAACAAGGCTCCCCCTCTCAACGAGGCATCCATGGCCTCCGGGACCCAGGGGCGCACCCCCTCTGCACTTGGCACAACCAGCCACACTGGGCAAGGGCTGAGCATACAGGTAGTCAGCCGAACCAATCCAGCACCTTGTCCACAGCCTCCGGCCTCCACAACTGAAACTCATCCAATACATTTGGATCAGGTGGTACACTGGACACCTCAGCCAGACGAACTGCATCAACCAGGGAGTCCAACTCCTGGCAGATCCAAGCAATTTTACCTTCAAAGTGCCGCACAAATTCCTCCATTTCTTTCACAGGGCCGGTTTAGAAGAGCCCCTGAACCACTTGGAACAGCTCTGCTGAACAGCACTGAGAGCATGGGAAAAATAAGCTTTCTTTGCTGCCTCCACCACTATGGCGCAGGCTTGATAATGAACTCTTAAGCCATGTTCAGTCGGATTCATCAGGAGTTTGCTCGCTCTGTGCTCCAGTCATCTTCCCACCTCTTTCATCGACCTCAGCTTCAACATATACCACGGGGCTGTATGGGCTCCTCGCAAGGGAAGAGGACGCTTGGCTGTGATCGTGTCAACTGCCCAGGCCATCTCTGCATTCCACTGTGACCTGGGCCTCGACAGGAGCACCAGCCGTATCAACAGGAAACACCCCCAGAGGCCTCTGGAAACCATCCGGAGCCATCAGCCTCGTCATCTCAGCCAGCAGCGAGCCATTCTTGCTATGCACCGGCCAGTAATCAAACCCTCCAACTCAAGAGTAAAGATGAAACACATCAGCTTAAACCCATATGGGAAGGGAAAGAAAGCAATGAAATTCACACAAGATCACACTCACAGACTCACAAGTCCGCTTCTGAGCGATGAAGGCATGCGCACGTATGCATGCTCAACATTAAAACCAAATTTAAAGAAGAGTCCCAATTTCTCATTTTGCATTATGTTATTCTACCACTGTTTATATATATGACTTCATATAACTTCCCTGTTGTTGGAAAAGAAAATCCACCTCCATAACACCTGCTGGAAATCCAGTTCAGCTCTACACATCTGTTCAGGCAATTTCTCTAGACAGCATCCACACACTTTCATAACAGCTTGGGAGCCAGGCTGTAGCAGGCAAAGCATGCCAGCTTGGCCATAACCACCTGTGATAAATGCCTGTGGGAAACCCAGAAGTAGGACATAAAAGCACTACTAGCATCCTCCCACTTGTGTTGCCCAGCAAATAGCACACACAGGCACAGCACCTCCAAAACTAGACGTAGCATGCTTGTGCAACCCTAAGAACTAGAAACCTGCTTAAAATTTAAAGCAAAGAAGTGGAAGGGGACATCCTTGAGAAACTGAATTCTGCCATCACAGTTCATAGGTGTTTGTGCTTCCGCAGGATTGCGGCTTGCACTGAATGCATCACCAAGCTACACCCTGACTTTCCCCCAAAGGAAACTGAACTAAGGAATCAATTAATGCCAGCAGTGAGCGGCAGCTCTGACTTTAAATGCAACCAAGTCATTAATTAGCTAAACACACAGGTCAAGTCAAAGTACTTAGCTGGGTGGAAGCCTTATTTGCTTCCTACAAATGATCAAAAGACAACAATCTGTACAACCACCCTGAAAGGTAGGACAGAATTACTGTGTGACTATTGGCAGTGCATGCTGCCTGGCTGCTCCCTCTAGACCCCAAATGTATCAACAAAAAAGATGTAGATTAGCAAAAAACTTGCATCACCAGTTATGCAAAACATGCAAACTCAGAAATAACTGGTAAATTTTAGCCTATTTTAGCCTGGAACAGATAGGTCAGGCATCTCACCATAGCGAAGAAGACCTGCCTGAGTTATGTGGGTACCTGTCCAAATGCTACTTGTCAGTGGCAACCTCAAGGACCCGGCTCAGCATCTTCACTCCAGACTTGGACTGGGCAGTCTTTTAAATAGAGGACTGTCTTTTCTGGAGCGGGACAATTGTCCACCCCACTCTAACTAGGCTCCTCCTGCAAGCAGGAGCAGCCGAAAAACCAGGGAAAGCACAGCATCATATCCAAACCTGAACTCCTAGCTTGGCTCTCCTCTAACAAACCAGAGTTTGAAGCCATATCATTGACGGTATCATCCTACTTGCAAGAGGAACTGGGTGGAGTAGCTAGTCAGTAGCCTTGCTTGTCAGCTAAGAGCCTGGAGAATTTGGGAAGGTGTGCATTTTCTGCAAACTCAACCCCCAGTCAGACCATGGAACTATTTAGCCCGGTATCATCTAGTGTGACCAGCCACGGCTTTCAGCAAGATCCATTTTTAAACCTGGAGATGTCAGGAACTGTGTGTGATGTCTTCTTCGTGCACTTGATAGCTGCCAACATCACATAACAGCTTGCATGGATGAATGGGGCCATCACAGGAAGACCTTTCCTATCACCTCAAAGGCAGAGTCTCTTCTCTGCAAATTAGGGCACATATTTGGCTGTCCATCAACCACCAGCACTGGGAAATCAAGCACAGAGGAATCTTGTGAGTGACAGACAACTATGAACCAGGCCTTGGTGACTGGTGGCTGCACAGACTCTGGTCAACAGTATTTTGTCTGAGGCAATGCAGTTAACAGAGGCAAGTTCTGATAATTCAGGCTAATGTGTAAAATTGAAAGCCACAGCATCTCTTCAGTAAGGGTTTGCCTAAGCCAGCTACAGCTGCAAGACTACATGTTTTGGCCCGCCCTGTAGTTGTCCCCTTTGGGGTGGTAGTTTATAATATGGATTCTAATTCGAAATAGAACACTCCAATATTTCTGATGCACATGTGCTTTTAAATTCTCTACTTGTTTTGCAGAGAATAAAGCTTGGCCAATGAAAATTAATTTTTGGTGCACTTGAGACAGCTAAAAGATTGAAAGAGAACAGCTCACCTCCTAAAATACAATGAACTGAAGATGCAACAATGCTTTCAATATTAGAGCAGATGACATAAAGACATAGTTCTCAAATGGACATATATATGGATATTTGGTCAGCCTTTGGTGAAGCTTGTGCAGAACTGACACATCTGGATTTGTTCAATTATTCAAATACTTACATATCAGTAATTATTAATTTGGGAGGGGGTATGTTTCTGGTTTTTATAGGTGATAAAGGTAAAGGTTTCCCCTTGACGTTAAGTCCAGTCATGCCTGACTCTAGAGGGCAGTGCTCATCTCCATTTCCTAGCTGAGGGAGCCAGTGTTTGTCCGCAGACAGTCTCCGTGGTCATGTGGCCAGCATGACTAAACACTGAGGTGCACGGAACGCTGTTACC